CCTCATTGCTTCTCCTCACTAGTCTCCTCCACAGGGTTCTTTTCTTGTATCTGGGACATGGCAAGGCCTGGATCTTGAGTTCAGGGGGCACAGGAAGTCAACCTGAGAAGGGAAGGGGGAGGGGAAACAGGGACAAGCTGTGATGTCTGTGGCCTCAGCTCCTGACACTGTGGGATTCTTGCAGTTTTGTTGTAGGAGTTGAAATTGAGAAGTGTGAGTCATCCGTGCTCTTTTTTTTATAAATTGTGTGTGTGTGTGTCTGTGTGGTGCTGGGGATTGAACCCAGGGTCTTGTGCATGTGAAGCAAGTACTCTACCAACTCAGCTATATCCCTAGCCCATAAAAATGGTTTTGGCCATACTGGTTTACATGTTCTTACATTTCCATATAATATTTAGGTTCAGTTTGCCAATTTACACAGAAAGGGCTCCTGAGATTTTGAAGGTAATCAATTTGAGGTGTATGGCCACCTTAATGGAACTCCTCTTTTGCATACATTGCTATTAGTGACATTTCTTATTGTCTTATTGTAGCTTTTAACAGATATGGCTAAGTTATATGCTGCCCTTTTGAAAAAAATTATTAAATCAAATATTAAAGCTGATTTGTCCTTGTGTTTTGTTCTAGAAACAACAAACTAATCTGGAAGACTTTTCTGCTTTATCTTTTTTTTTCTTTTAAGCAGCATGAAAAATATTGTACTCAAATGTAACCACTTCCTCCTAGTTGCTTAGCCGATCCACTGCCAATATAACTCTTCCAGGAAATATTGTCTCTTGTGAAACTTCAAGGTTTTGTCACTTTTGAATCACCTAGCTTCTAGTGTCCTTTAGTCCTATAGTGGACACAAGATGGATCACATTTAACCTGTCAAGCTACAGCCTCCTCTCAGTTCATTTGGAAATTTCTGCAGGTGTAACACAGAACATGGTGTTGGGTTCTTTGTCTTGTGAATTTGAAGAATGAAATCCATGGACAGAAAGTCAGAATAGAGTAACAGGATTTATTAGACTAATAGAAAGAAAACAGAGCTCCCAAAGAGGGGAGGAATCCCTGGGAGTTGAGGGATGCGCACGAATGGATATTGTTTAGAGGTTTATATGGATAGACAGGTGGTTTTTGTTGTTGTTGTTGTTGGTTTTGGATACTGTGGATTTAATTCAGAAGAACTTAACCACTGAGCTACATTCCTAGCCCTCTTTATTTTAATTTTTTTTTTTTAATTTTTGAGGCAGAGTTTCGCTAAGTTGCTTATAGCCTTGCTAAGTTGCTCAGGGCCTCGATAAATTGCCGACACTAGCCTTGAACTTGAATTCCTCCTGGCTCAGGCTCCCAAATTGCTGGGATTACAGTTGTACAACACTGCGCCTGGTAAGTGGTAGCACCGGTTATCAGGGACGAGTTCTGCTCCCTCACATTGTTGAAGTATAACATTAGAGAAGCACGCCGAGGCAAGCATATAAAGCAGGGTTTATTTAAAAAGGGGTAACATAGACTTCTCCTGGGAGGGAGAAGGGGGCATAGCTGGTATCCTGGTATCTCCAGAAGTGAGGTGTTCTGCCTTTTTATATGTCTTAGGCTTTCTTTGCTCTTCTGCCCTCTTCCCCTTATCTTTCTCCTTCTTGCATAAGTGATTAGGCCCAGGATGACCAAAAGGTGGGAAACAGGTGGGCTGAAGGGGGAAGGGCAGGATGGTGCAGCCCAAGACACAGTAATTAACAACTTTATAGCTCCCTGTAGGGGCAGGGGCAGGTTCTTGTTAAGGGTGAAGGAAGGGCTCTGAAAGAAGTAAGGTTTCAGGGTTGGGGATATAGCTCAGTTGGGAGAGTGCTTGCCTCACATGCACAAAGCCCTTTGTTTAATCCCCAGTACCACAAAATAATTAGCATGTCAATCCCAGACTTCTCTGGAGTTACTTAAAATTGGCCTGACTCAATCTGACCTGATGTGATTTACCTATCTATACTGACTGCCTGTTAATTCTGGCTTCACAAGGATGGATGGGTTTAAGGAAGTCTGTCCCCTGCCCAAACCTAGTTAAGGCACTCAGTGTCTATGAGGTATTCATGCAGGCTTTAGTCCAATCAAAATATTGATCAGACATTTTTCCTTCTATGGAGAGGCCGTGGACTTCAGGTCACCTATGTCCTGAATTTCTATTGCATAAGTCCTGATTTTAAAAACAGTCTTTATGTAAGTTTCTCAGCAAAAATCTGCAGCTGCTGTTTGTGCTGTGCTGTCCAAGAAGTTACCCAGCCTCATCTCTTGCTCCTGATGCCTAGGAGAGAAATGTATTTGATTTAGGCCTGGAAGGAAGGTAACTTAACAGAAAAAGGTAACTTAACAGAAAAAGTCTCTTCCTCTGGAACTTAGTTTCACTTAACTCCCATATGCCATCTAAGGCTGGTTCTGGGAAGGTCTCTGAGTCAGTGCGTAAAGGTATGGCATGATATGGAGGAGGAGGGAGTCTTGGAAGTTGGAAGATGTCAAATCAAAAGCTCCTGCTACCCCAGGCCCTTTTGAGGACTCTCAAGAACTGGGATGGACCTTTCAGCACACTGAGCTATTCTCTAGCTGGAGCACCCACCCCCTCTATCCTGGGTGTCAATCCTTCATTCATATATAAAGTCTCTCTGAGGTTGGGGAACTTGGACCAGAGCTTGGAGGTAAAGGAAAACCAATCAGGTCTACTATTCCTGCTTCCCAAAGCGGAACTAAAGAGAAACAGGCGTTTCCCCTTAGTCACCAGAGCAGTAGCTGACACCCATCACCATTAAAGGATATAAAGGTTTTGACTGTCCTTCAGGCAGAGGCTGAGAATTGTTCATGTTACTGTCAGCTCAGCATCAGTGTGCCCTAGGGGGTTTTGTTCTAAAGGGGAGAAGTTTGAAATACTGAGTACAAATACCCACGGGGCCTGCTATCTCCCCTTGGTAACTCGGCTTAAGTCTTTCCCTTGACTACCAGGATTACTAAGAGAAAAGCTTAAGTTTTACCTTCCTTCCAGGCCTAAATCAAATACCTCTCTCTCCTGGGCATCCTTGTCTAGACTTGTCCCTGACTTCTTTGAGTCTGTGTGACACTGAGGAGAAGCCCCATTTTTAGCACCACCACACCCTGCCCACTTCTTACAGATCCTGTATGGTGACATAGGGAGTGACAGCCAGCAGTAGCCTGAAGATCAAGAACTCAGGATTTGGAATCAGAGAGACCTGGGTTTGGGCCTGAATTACCAGCTCTTCCCAGTTTGGGGATGGTGGCAAGAGAGTCTGCCTTTCTGAACCTCTGTCTCCTCATCTATTGAATGTAGATAATAAGCTAACAAAAGCAGAAAGTAGCTAATAAAAGTTTATTAGAGATGGGATAAAAAAGTGGTAGTGTCATAGTTATTAAGGAAGGCCAGCACTGTGTCTTATTCCCTTTTGCTTTCCAATGGAATTCCATGCTTTAGATTTAGGAAATGCTTGCTAAATAGTTAACATTATTGAATAAAAGCTGAAAGAGTTAATGTGAGAAAGAAATGATAGTTTTATAAAATTGCCTCCCCAAATGGCCTAAGGAACAAAATATTTCTAATCAAATCAGAGGACTAAGATTTAGGGTTTATCTGTCTTTATCTTTTTAAAAAAAGATTAGGGTAAGCCAGGTGTGGTGGAAAATGCCTCTCATCCCAGCAACTCAGGAGGCTAAGGCAGGAGAATCTCAAGTATGAGGTCAGCCTCAGCAACATAGGGAGACACTGTCTCAAAATTTAAAAATAATAAAAAGGGCTGGGGATATACCCCTGAGTTCACTCCCCAGTACCCCCCACCAAGTGGTAAAATACACATAACATAAAATTTCTCATTTAAATAATTTTAAATGTACAATTCAGTGGCATTATGTAGATTGATGTTGTCATACAACTCTCACTACAGTACTTGTCTTTGTCAAATACTGAAACTCTCTGGGTGAGGTCTAGAGTATGGAACGGCACTTTAGCACATTTGCTGGAAAAAGCATCCTACATTTGCTTTTTTCCAGAGATAAACATCTTCCTAAGCTTCTGTACCTCTTTCAATAGTTCTGCACATTTGAGTTAATTTCAGTGTAGGGACTTGGAGTCAAACTTGCCCATTTAAATATTGCTTTCTGGCTCATTGCGTGACCTTGGGCAAATTACTTTTTACCTTTCTGTGCCTTAATCTTCACATTTTTAAAGCAGGGGCCATAGTAATAGTTTTAATTTTAGAGTGTTGTTGGGATGATTAATTAAGTAAATATTTGTCAATACTCTATGAGTGGCACATGGTAGGTACAATGCAAATATTTCCTATTATTTTATTATGAGAAATACTTCTTCAAAATCTCTTTTTCCTGCTGGATCGAAAACGTTGAGAATGCAGATACTATCAGTATCGTCTACTATTAATTAATTCACTTGCAAGAAACTCCAAATAGGTTTATAGTCTCCCGTTTTCACTTATTTTTTGGTCTTTTAAAATATTTTATTTATGTGCACATGGGCTTACTTAAAATTTTTATTTATTTGCACATGGACATACTCAAGGAAAGATTAAGATAACTACTGTTTCATGAGCTTTCTGGTTTTATTTTAAAGGAGAAATGAGTTTGGGAAGGAGATGGGTAGGGAAATGGACTTGTTTCCTTTTGGGGGAATTGTGATCTAAAGGAATGGCTGGAATACCTCCTGGATCCCAGAGCCATTTGCCTTTTCCCACTTGGGGAATTCCCGAGCTCTATGATGAGTAACCAATGTACATTGGCCTTTAGGAGGTGCTGTTAGTCAAGATTATTTTAGTCAGGGACAGGGAGGGAAAAAAACCTAGGAGCAATGACAAAAGCAGGAAGTTAAGAGTCACCGTTCTCCAGACCAATTGGGACAGCACGTTTTGGGTTCTCTCTTGCTACACAAATGGACCTCAGAGCACATAAACGATTCTAGTTTCTTTGAAACTTCATTTTAAGGGAATTCTTCAGAGAAACTTTTCCTTCCAGAGGCTTGGTGGAACTTAGAGCGGAAGACATGTGAGTAACCCCCCGCACCACCCCGCTTCCAGGTTCAGGCTCGACCTTCTCCTTTGTTCAGGCCATAGAAATTTGCAAAAATCCTTATTGTCAGCAACGACATTATTTCTGCCTCGATGTCTTTGCTGTACCAGGGAAAATGAAAGTTAGTTGAAAACCAGGAAGTCTTCAACATAGCCTTTTACCGGCAGATGTACCCTAGTCCAGACAGGTTTGTCAGACTCACTGAGGCGAAGGGTCAGAATCTTAGGAAAACACAAGGCAGATGATGTGGGAGACCCCAAAAGGTTCTCTAAGCAACCAGTTGGTGAAGACCCCAACTCATGTTACATTAAAATAGAAGCTTTTCTTTTCCTTTTTTTCTTTTTTCTTCTCCTTCTTCTTCTCCTCTTTCTTTTGAGATGGGGCTGTGCCATGTTGCCAAGACAAGTAGTTGGGACAACAGGCACACACCACAATGCCATCTATTTTCTTTTTTTCCTGACAACAAAAGTAATATCTATTCAAATTAAAGAAACTCAGATGGAAGCCCGGAAGAAAATTTATAATATCTAAGTGATATAAACACTCTTTGTTATTGAAACTTTGTTCCTACCTTTAGAAAGTATTTTCCTGCTTCTAAAATAGCTGAAATCCTGCAAAATGAATTCATACCTCAGTCTTTATAGAATGAATAAGATTCTAGTGAAGATCTTTATCAATGCGTTTCTCCTTTGAGTAGAATGAAATTCAGTGTAGAGAATCCTAGAGTTTATAAATAGATCAGGTAGATAAGTACTTTTTTGTAACGCCCAACACTAATTTGAGCATTTCTTATTTAAAACAAAAAACAACCCCACCCTTTTCTTCCCGGCGGGAAGAAAAGGGTGATGGCTTCCTTGTTGTGAGATAAAGGCTGGTTAGCGTTAGCAACCTGCAGTTAAGGATGAACCCTCGTCCCTCAGGGTACCTGATCGTCTTAGGTTGTTCTTTCTGAAATGTTCACCAAGCCAAGATTGCTTTGTTTCTACAACTTAAAAAATAGACCTAAGTGCTGTTTCTGCCAATTGGGAAGCTTACAAGTTCCAACCAGGTTACCAGGCCTGAGAGAAAATGTGCTGTATCTTCCCCACTCTTAACTCTCTCCCGCTGGAGACATTTTTTATTTGGGAGAAAACAGAGTAAATGGAGTTCCAATAAAACTCCCTCCAAATCTCCTAGAAGGTAACTTGTAATGTTGGGGTAGAGTTTTCTGGGTTAGGTTTTTTTTTTTTTTCCTGTGGTGTTGGGGATTGAACCCAGATGCTCACACATGTTACACAAATGGTCTACCCCTGACTACATCCCAGTACTTTTTTATTTTTATTTTGTGCCAAGGATCTAACTTGTGATCCTACACGATTAGCCTCCCGCGTCACTGGGATTACAGGTGTGCATTCATACGGCAGGCTGGGCTGTGGGATTTTGAAGTAGCCCCGCGTAATTTTAATTTTTGGCACTTCCAAGAATTCTAATGCCCCAAACAGAAGAGGCTGGGAATCATAGAGAGCCTGGCAAATGCCCAGAACAAAGCAGGCCAGAATTGAGGGCGGATCCAGAACCCAACGTGCCCCGTGTCTCACTCAGTTCTGAGGCCTCCTTCCCCATTTTCTTTTTCAGGATGGCCACATCTCAAGATCAAAGTCTGGGTTCCAGTTCAGATGAAAACTGTCAATTGAGATTTCGAGAGAAGCTTCTAGCTATCGATTTGGAACTGAAGTTTCAAGATGTAGAAAGCCTAAAGTTTCTCTGCATAGGTTTCATCCCCCAGAATAAGATGGAAAAGTGCAGGTCTGCCTTGCATCTTTTTGATTATCTCATGACAGGGGAGATAATAAGTGTAAAAGACCCCTTCTTCCTGGCAGAACTCCTCTATACCATCAAGCAGAATTATCTGCTGCGGCACCTCGGCTACACCAAAAAGCAGGTGGAATGTTTACTTCCCATCAGAGGGAAGCTGTCTCCATTCAGGTGAGGAGGTGTCTGGGAGAAAGACTGGAGGGTTTTTCTGTGGAGGGTGCATTCTGGCCTTTGCGCTTTGAAAGAAAGCTGGAATTAAGATCTTTCTCTTATCTACCCCCTAAAAGGATAAACCAGGAGATTCTATTTGGGGAGACTTCTCAGTTTCAGATGGTTGGGAGATTTATGAAGTTTCCAGATCCCAGCCCTGGGCTTGAACATGGCTTTCCTTTGTTGAGCTGCTCACTATCATGAAGCCACACCAGGTGGCGAGTCCTGAGCTTTTCTGGGTTCCCAGACTCTGTGCCGGCAGGCAGCTCTTCCTCCTGGGATGCTCTGGTGTGTCTGCTTATATCCCAGAATCTTAAGCAAAGAAATAATGAATGCTTGGAGTCAAATAAGCAAAATGAAAAAGGAAATATGTCTCTGGGGTACATCACATATGTCATGTCTGGTTATAGATTTTTATACGTTTTTGGCAGAAACCCGGAAAGATAAAATATCATACAGACATTTTGCCAAGAAGGTAAAATACCAGCATTGGGCCCACCATGGCCACACCTTTGACAACAGTGTTTTAAACTATCTATAGATATTGTAGCATCCACTTAGGAGAACCTGACGAGAAGCCACCTTCAAAGGATGTTTTGTGGAGATTACAGCCCTTTAGGCCTTGGCCTTGAAGCTGATCCCAGAACGTGACCTACCCTAGGGTCAGTGGAAGGATGATGAATTCCAGAACTCCATGCTGCCCCTCTGCCAGCTAAACATCTGAGGGATGCTCCTGGCATCTGTTAGTGTGTGAATGTGTTTTTCTGTTTGTGGATGATAGGACTATCCAGAACTTAAAAGTCACTTCTTTCCTTTTTAAATATGTAGTGGGCTGTATATTGGCCAACATCAGGTCCTCTCTAACAAGGGCCTGTAAATGAAGCCTGAATTTCTAGAATGGAGTCAGATGGGAAAGCATACTGAATCTGGGTTTATACTTTCCTAGTACGGAAACAGCACTGCACCAGGAATCAGCCAGCCTGCCTCTACTTCTCAGTGTGTTATCTTAATTTAAATAGGTCACTTAGAGGCTCAGAGTTTTTGTTTTTGAATGTATCAAAGGAGAGTCATAATTGTCCACTCCCAGTGTTGATCATTCAAATGACAGGTAACATTTGTGAAAGCCCTGGATTTACCATGGTATCCTCTGCAAGTGTAAGGCTTCATTTGTCCTTTTGGATGTGTTTCGTAGAAAACTGCTCTATGAACTGTCAGAAGGCATTGATGAAGAGAATTTGAAAGACATCATCTTTCTGCTGGCAGATAAGATTCCCAAAGTCTCGATGGTGAGTGAATTCTACAGCTGGGGATTTAGGCAAGCACTGCTTTCACCCGTGATTGACACAGGAAGATTTTTCTTTTGAAAAAGGGAGGCAGTACCATATGTGGTTAGGAACATTGACTTTGGTCCATGTTTGGACCTGGATCATTGTTAGGAACACTGTCTTTGGCATTGGATGGGCCTGGATTCTAGTCCTGATTTTGCTACTAACCCTGTGTTGTAGCCAAGTGATTGAACATTTCTGACTTTGTATTTCCTTATGTGTCAAATTGTATCTAATCTTACCACTTCCTTCTAGTACTGAGGAACTAGATGAAATAATGTGCAAAAAGCACTAGCAGGAGTGTTTGGCATTTTAACTGTGCAATAAATACTGACTATTTTTGACAGTCATGTGTTTTATGGTATAAAAGTCATGTGTTTTATGGTATAAAAGTCATTTGGAGCACAAGAAGGGAATGAAGAGGTGGTAAGCAATAGCAGAGTGGGAGCTCTGTGTTCATCACCTACTTCAGGTGAGGGTTTTGAGGGAGCCTAGGTACGGTTTTTGTGAAAATCAAGTGAAACAAATGTTTGATGATGTTTTGTAAAGGGCTGCACAGGTGTGTTGAATTACTAGGAATGGTTTTAAGATTAACAGAATTGTTTTCTCTGTATTGATCATATTTAAAGGCAGCACAATTGTTGCATGTGTATCTCCCAAGCCTCAAATTAAATTTTAAAATTTTGACTTGAGGGCTGGGATTGTGGCTCAGTGGTAGAGCACTCGCCTAGCACATGCAAGGCCCTGGGTTCGATCCTCAGCACCACATAAAAATAAATAAAATAAAGGTATTGTGTCCAGCTACAACTAAAAAAGTAAGTATTTAAATTTTTTTGCCTTGAATAACATGACAAACAAGTTAGCTAGTTTGAGAAGGGGAGATTTTCAAATTTTACCCTATAACATTGTGTTATTTGCTGTTGTTTTTATTAGACTTTAAGTTATGTAAGTACATAAGAATACAACAGTATTCAGTAGGACAAAAGAATACATGTAACATGGGTAGAAGTGTTGAAACGTAGTCATGAAGTGAACAGTCATGGACCCACCATCCAGATTCTAAATGGAAGCCTCAACCTGGGTCAACTGATGTTATTGACAAATAACATGAGAAAGTCACTGGGGAGTGGGAAGTAGTTTTATGTGATGGGTCAAATGAGCACTATGTTTGTAATTCATTAGACAAATTTCCTGGAATCGGGTCTGAGACTGAACGGGTTCAGTCTCTTCTGACCATAACCTTTGAGTCATTTTATTCCCTTTCTAGAGTCCTCAGGGATTTCAGCCTCTTGAGTTCTTCTGTTGGTCATTCTCTACTCTCCCTTTTGTGTTTCTTGCTTCCAAGGATTGGCTGTGCGTTCCTTAAGGGTGGGGACTGAGTCTAATTCATATTTTAGCTCTGACTTGTGGAATCTGTTACAAAATGGAGTAATAATGAGGCCATCCTCTATCTTCTCTTTCTGTTTGAGAAAGCTGCCTGAACCCTTTTTTAAAATTTTTGTAGTGCTGGGGATCAAACCCAGGACCTTGCATGTGCTAGGCAAGTGCTGTCCTACTGAGCTACATGCCCAATCCTTGAACCTTTTCCTTTTATGTGATTTTTGCAGTAATAACTAGGAGAGGTAACAGGAGAAACTAAAGAACTGGGAGGGTGATGTGCAAAGATGTAATATTTTCATAGTTGTTGCTCCTTGTCAGAATCTACTAGTTTTCTCCCTTAGATGGTCCTTGGAAGTTCTGTGTTTTTCATCTTATACATTTCTGGTTTTGTTTTTTACACTTTTTTTTTTCTTTTGCCATTTTATTGAAAAAAATAACCAAACAACCAACAGAACACAGGTATAGAAAATGACACAAAACATGCGGAGTAATGCACTATTATAAGGCTAATACCCTTGAAACCACCACCTAGGTCAAGAAACCGCATTTTGCATTTTAGCAAAATCATATTGTACAATGTGTCATCTGAACTTGCTGTATGTGCTCCTGATCTGAGTGCTTTCAAAATAAATGAATAGACAAGAATTTAAAAAAAGAAATGCAGGGAAAAAAATATTAAAAATTCCCATCTACTCTGAAAATTGCTCCATTTGCCCTGTCCCAGTCAGGTTCCTTCTTGGCCCTTAGAGGTAACCATTGTCCTGACTTTTTAGAACTGCATCATTATGTTTTTTGATGTCTTTTTCACTTAACTGGGAGTCCCTAGATTTCTTGTTTAGTCTTGTTCGGTTTTTCTTCTTTCAAGAGTTTTTGAATCTGTAGGTTAAGTTCCATTCCCCCAGTTGCTTTCTTTTCTTTCCAGTACCTGGGATTGAACCCAGGACCTTGCCCATGCCAGGCAAGTGCGTCGCCACGGAGCTGTATGGTCCTCCCCTCCTCTCTTTATTTTTCTCAGCCCTTTCCTGTTGAAGAGCCATAGGGCAGTATCTGAGCTTTTCTGATGCTGCTCAACCTGGTGTAGGTCAGCTTGTTCCTCTGTCCTCTGCATTTCTCACAACCTGGCAGCTGCATTCTGAGGCTCCATCAGACTTTTGGAAAGACTGTAGGTGGTTTTATGATCTTTCATAGAAAACCATTTCTGTTTTTTTTTTCTCTTTTAAATATATAGCAACTGTTGGGTTTCAACAGTTTTATAGATTGATTCTTTGGAGGCTGCAAAATAGAAACATTAAAATTCTATTATTTTGTTTTCTCCTCATTTATTACTTGGTTACCCAGTGACACAGTTTACATATAAATCTTTGATTATTTTTTTACTTCTGTAGTTTTCTAGATAATTAATAGGTTTCCTGAAGTTTTTGAAGATGGCCCATTATAAAAATATATATAAAGGTGAACTCGTAGATTTATGTATATTTGAGGTATTTCAATCCATTGCGATAATTATCCTTATTGAGGTTCAAATTGTTTCTCTTTTGATCACTGGGAGACTCTTCGAATTGGTTCTTCTGTCATAGTATTTAAAGACTTCTTTGTTACCTGGCAAAGATGTCCCAGGTTCACTTTGTAAATATTCTGCTCAGTCCTAGAATCCATCCCTTCTTTATATTATAAAGCAGTGTTTTCTTATAATGAGAAGTGTTATTTCAAGACTGCAAATTAGGTATTGGGGATGTTCATTGATTCTGGGATGATAATTATTCCTAATTGTTTTTCCCAAAGGATAGAGCTAGGAAATTGTGTGTGTGTGTGTGTGTGTGTGTGTGTGTGAGAGAGAGAGAGAGAGAGAGAGAGAGAGAGAGAGAGATTTTTAATACAAAATATCTCATAACTTCCACTTATATTTTCAGTTAAAACTAATATCCACTAGATTTTTGTTTAATCATTTCTATATTATACCTGCCTCTCCTGTTCTTCACACTGAGAATCCTGGTTCTTATTTCAAGGGGATGATAGAATTAGAATGTTAGATAATCTTTGTTTTTGTTTTATTTCATATGACACATACCACAGTCTCAGAATATATATTCCTACCTCTTTTACCAATATGATTGTTCACATAGTTGGAAAATTATTTGCTCCTGTTATATCCATCCTCTCCCTATGTCAGAGCATAAAGCCATTCTATGCTATACTCCCCTTCCCCCTTTTAGTCCTAATTTAGACCTTGTTCTATAAACATTGTGTGTGTGTGTATGTGCACATAGAGAAGGGGAGGTGAGCTCTTAGACAAATAAAAAAAATCAAGCATTTAATTTCAGATAATTTTTATAAAGCACCAAGGTGTTCTCTGCTTCTGCCTAGTGTTTCAGTGCTCATGTTTGCAGTGATGCAACCTGACTGCCTGCTGAACTGACCATTTTTCTTTAAATGCTGAAATTCTCAACATTGGAGAGATACCTGCAGTTTAAAAAGCTCTCCATGTGCTTCTAATAACATTCTCTCCCAACCTGGGGCATCCTCCTACAATTTTTCCAGTGTCTGGATTTATAAATAAAATGAGACCTCTTTTCATTGTTCCAGCCCTCCCTCCATCCTGGACGGAAGTCCTTGCAACCTGAGGTGGGGAGTGAGAGGTGGGGGGAAAAGCACTTGTTGAAGGAGTCTCTGCAATGCTCCATACTGCAGAGCTTTTCCACCCAGAACTGGGGAGAGTTTCTTTCTCTTTTGGTTGCACAGGTCCTAGATCTCTGTTTGTGTTTTGAGTGTACACAGGATCATTTTTGTGAGCAAGCCTTCCAAACATTCCTCCTCCTGCTAAATTAGCTTGTCAATCAACAAAAGCCCATGCTCAAGCAGCCAGATGATTTGTTTTTTCTTTTGATATGTTTTTCTCAGTCCAACAGTAAAAGGAAGTCAAATTCTTCATGATATAATCATGGCTGAGTCATGATTCGATAATTGGGTTTGTCTCTCTTGGACTTTGCAATCAGGCCAGGCTCTGAAGTATGTGGAGGACAATTTCTAAGTATCTCAGAGGAATTTCTTACCAGGGATTAAAGAGGCTGCATTATCTACTATTGCAACCGCAAAAGAATTATCACAGAAGAAATAACTTACTTATAGCCATTGGAGGAGGACCTGGATACCCCTCAACCAAAAGGAAAAGGTTCTAAATTCTTATGGCCTTTCCATGGGGACAAAAGTGACTTTTTATTATTGTTGTTTCTTTGAGACAATGTCTTTCTGTTGCCCAGGTTGGGTTCAAACTCAGTCTTCCTGCCTCAGCCTCTCAAGGAGCTGGGATTACAGATGAGTACCACTGGGCTCAGTCAAAAGGGTAAATGACCTTGGGCTGGGGATGTGGCTCAAGCGGTGGCGAGCCCGCCTGGCATGCGTGCGGCCCAGATTCGATCCTCAGCACCACATACAAACAAAGATGTTGTGTCCGCAGAAAACTAAAAAATAAATATTAAAAATTTCTCTCTCTCTCTCTCTCTAAAAAAAAAAAAGTATATGACCTCTATAGGGTATTCTGGGATTCCTCTTTGATAGCTCTCTTACACAATTAGGCAGAATAGTTGCCTGCACACTTCCTGTGAGACCTGAACAACTGTCTAGAACTCCAACCTCAGCACAGCTCTCAGCATAGATGGCTGATGCAGAGGAAACTACACCCAAACCTACTGGCTCTTTAGTGAAGAAACAAAATAAAGAACTTTTGGAATGTCCTGCTAGTATTTGCCAGGGTGGTGTTTTTAAACCCATGTATGGGCTCCATTTCAATTGTGTGTTTTTGTGTGTGTCTTCTTATACAATATAAGATTTCCATCGTTATTTTGGGGGATCATGTCTTAATTCCTTCTTTTTTTCCTCCTGGTAGGCTGTTGTCAAGACATGGAGTTTGGTTTCAAGGTTCCCAGAAAGCTCACCTGTGTATTATTTGCTGCGGGACTTGGTGCAAGGGTGGTGGGGGAGTTCCTTCTGACCTTTGTGCCCGGCTGATTAACTCAGGAAGATTCTTCCTCCACACCTCTCTTCTACTTTGCCCCTTGACCAGCTGGTATGTTGGGGCTGCTGTGGAGTGACACATCTTTGCCTTTCCACAACAGGTCATTCTGCTTCTGGAATTTCTCGAAAATTCATTTTTTTTTTTTTTTTAACCAGATGCAGACAGAAACCAGTTAAGACTTTGAAACTCTGGCCTTTTGCCTGGATTGTTTGTGATTTGAGTGCCATGTTGGAAAACACACACACACACACACACGACTTATTAACCCTGTCTCTTTACATGTTGCTGCTATAGCTTCCTCTTTACCTTTACTGCTAACCTTCTTGAAAAAGTAGTCTACACATACTCTTCTCTCCACTAACTCAACTCTTAGGCACTTTCCAATGTATTCCAGAATGGCTTCCACCTGTATCGTGCCAATGAAACTTTTCTTGCTGAAACTACCAAGTACCTCCTAATAACCAATTTCCAGTTTCTCCTCACGTCCCCACTTGGTTGTATTTGCATGGCATATCCTTTTCCATCTTGTCAGTAGGGCCTTGTCATCCTTCATGCAGTTCAAGCCTCGATGCCCATGTGCAACTTATATGGAGGCTGGTATGCGGGATGGATGAATGAGGAATAAATGAATATTGTCACCACTGGAAGACATCTTGGACTCTTTCCTCATTTCTTCACCCAGTTCCAAGTGATCCCTAAAACCCACCAAATTATGCTTCAGAGATGTCCAGTGTCTCCTCTGCTTTTCCATCACTAGTCCTAGACCAGGTCTTGATCATCTTCACCAGGTTATTTAATCTTCCAGCCAATATTTTCTCAATCCATTTCTGTCTTCAATCTACTTCCAAGATTTCCATTTGAAGACAAATCTGATCATGTCCCTGTTCTCTTTAATGATCACTGTTGGCAGCCCTTGACCCAAGGGACTCCTGCCCCAGTTCCTCCTGTGGTGTGTGTGTTCCTCATGGCCTGACCCAGCCTGCGGTGTCAGCCATGGCCTAAGGCTCATTGGGGTTTGTACTTTAGCCTCTTTCCAAGGTTCCCGAGGACATAGCCATTTTTCAAACTTTAAACTGTTTAACAGAGACTGGACTCTCCCTTACCTGATCCCACTTGGCCAATGGATATGTGTGTACTTAGATGGTGTTCAGATGTTCTCTTTCTGATTGCTCTTTTCTGTGGGCTCTGATATAATTTTGTTCATATTTGTAATAACCCGATCAATACATTAAGTTCTAATCTCTGAAAGGTCTATGGTACCTTCCACCACATATGTAAATCTATATTAAAATCATATTAGCCAATTTGTGATTCCACCCCCCCACACACACACACAGGATAACATCATAGATATTTTCTTCTAAAATACCAAATATGATGTTCTTCCCATTTCCCCCCTCATTTCTTTGGTGTCCTTGTTTTTCTGGTTCCCCAATCAATGATATCGTTTATGGCTGTGAGTTAGAGGCAGTATAGCTCATTGGCCAATAAAACAGACTTTGATATCAGATTGCACCAGATCTGCCACTTGTTGGCTTTGTGACCTTGAGCCAATTACTAAACCTCTCTGTACTTCAGTTATTTCATCTTTAAAATAGAGATTATAACAGTATCTACTTCATTGGGCTGTTTTTAGGCTAATCTATAACAAGCACCAAGCACTATTCCTATCGTACAGTGAGTTATGTGTCTTTGGTGTCTGTTATTAACATGGCTTGTGTAGAGATTTGCTTGGTAAATTGAGCCCCTTGGAGGCAGATGCTATACCATATTCACCACTGCAAAACCTGGTGCTTAGTGTCCATGCAGGTAGTGTTTAAGTGAATGATAATCAGAAGGTAAGTAAATGTGACTCTACTGATTCTCTTGCAGAGTCCTCTAAGTTTATTGGCCTACCTAGAAAAAAACACTGAAATAGATGAAGATAATGTGATATTACTGGAGAAGGTTTTTAAAAAGGTTGCACCTTTCCTTCTAAGGAAGATAGAGAACTATAAAAGAGAGAAAGGTAAGCAGCTTATTTTTGCTTACTTGCCCCATGTTTATATGTAGGAGGTTTTCTTATCATTTTGGTAATATTTTCTTGGGAAAGCCAGAAATCTCCTCATTTGTTCATTCAGTACATATTTATTGAATGCATACTTTAGCCCAGGCATTATTTTATAAATTGGAGGTATATTGCAAAGCTCCTGCCCTTTTGGAGCTTATGTTCTAGTGGGGGAAAGTAGTTTTAGGCAAATGAATATAATGCAGAGATAGCTAGCTCATTCTTTTTTTTTTCCTTTGACTGTGCTTAGGCTTGAACTCAGGGCATTGTACACACTAGACAAGAGCTTTGGTATGTCTTACAAAGATAGTTTTTCTTTGATATTATGTAAAGGTGGAAACACAGGGCAGGAATCATACCTGACAAATGTCAATATGCTAAATAGTAAATATTTATCATAAACGTAAATTTCTCTGGGTCTATTTCCACTGTTAAGAACAATATATAATAATTCATGACTATGTTTGGGAAGTTTCTCTGCTACACCCATATTTTGTTCAGCAAATCTAGCATGCAAAATTCTTTCTTTAAAAATGAAATTAGCCAAGAGGAAGCTTCCTTCTAAGAATTCAGTGAAGACAAAATAAGTTGAGAAACAAAATATATTCTTGTGAAATTGATAAAATCTCAAACAATAACTAAAACAATAAATAAATGTAAATTTAATTAAAAATTATTATGACAAATAAAAACAGTTCTTTCAGTCACATTATCAAATAGGAAATGAAAAGCAGGAAGTTGATACTGAAAGAGTATTTGGAATCCTCATGTGAACTCCAAATGATATGTGTCTTTTTTCTACTCACCCATTTTTTCCCACACAAAGAAACACAGGGCAGGGGAGCAGGTTATTGTAGATATAGGGGAGCAGGTTATTGTAGATATTTGAACTCTGGAGGAGACTCACTGGTTTCTGTGTGGTCAGCATTTACATCTGCCTCACAGAGTCTTGAGTATATCAGAAGAGTTCTGATTTTCCTCTTTCTTTTTTTTTTTAAATATATTTATTTTATTCATTTTAGTTGTTGATGGACCTTTATTTTTTATTTATATGTGTTGCTGAGAATCGAACCCAGTGCCTCACACATTTGAGGCAAGCGCTCTACCACTGAGCCACAACTCCAGCTCTCCTGTTTCTTTTTTAAACCTATCTGTGTGGTCTGCTCGGATGGCAAGTATTATTACTCTTTTAATGTTGGCTTTCTACAATCCTGAGTTTGGGCCTAATTCTGCTTTTAGGATAAAAAACTGTTAAAGACTGAACGGAAAGGGTGTGAAGAGCTCAGACTCTTCTATGTGATCTAAAGTCCAAGTCCCTTTTGTTTGATTAAGACCTGACTTTATTTAAGGTCATCTGGCTCACTTTCTGAGTTTACTTGAACTTTGTTGTTTGCTTTAATATTTTAAATGTATTATTAAAAATAATATATGTAATTATAATGAAATTAAATAAAAATTCAAATAATGAAAATAATACAGAGTGTGGAAGATAAAAATCTTTCTCTTCTTCCTTTCATTGCCAACCCATTCTGCAGAGATAACCACTGTTTAGAATATATTCTTGTGGGCTGGGGTTGTGACTCAGCAGTAGAGCGCTCGCCTCGCACGTGCAAGACTCTGGGTTCGATCCTCAGAACCACATACAAAAATAAACAAGTGAAATAAAGGTGTTGTGTTCAACTACAACTAAAAAAATAACTTAAAAAAAAAGAATATATTCTTGTAGATTTTCTTCTGTATAGAAACAACTGTGAGTGTGTGTGTGATGTATGTGTAAACAGGACCATGCTAATTATATTTTGTAACTTGCTTTTTCCCCACCCAATATGCCTGACATTTTCCATGAATACAATACAGATAGAGCTAGCTTATTCTTATTAATAATTTCAAATAAATCCTTTTTATGAATATGATACATTTAACTACCACTTCTGAATGTTTTTTCTTTTGTCTTCTTTCTTTCTTTCTTTTTATTCTTGTAGCCTGACTTCTGGTACTATTTTTTGAGGAAATCCTTTTGGAATCTTTTCAACTATCTGAAACATTAAGTACCATAAATTATGAAATGTTATTTGGTAAAATATATGGTAGTTTTAAGGAGTTAATAAAATTATAAAAATAATAGAAACAATAAGAAAGAATATATGAAATACAAAGAATAAAAATATAACAACAATAAAAATAATTATAAATTCACATTTTTTTCCTGAGTATTTATGTAGACTTCCATAAGAAATGCCATTGCAAATTTTAAAATTTCTTTAAAATAGTAACTTTTGGTGATTGATTGTCTTGGATTGGTATTAGTTAGACGGTGAATTGTTTTTTGTTTTCTGCCTGTGGTTTTATTTACAGCTGCCCAGGAAGTGACACCTCCTGTGGACAAAGAAACTGAATCATTGCCTCAAGGACAGGAAGAAATATTTACTCCATCAGACATTAAGCGGTTCCGTGGAGCCTTAACAGTAAGTTGAGTGCTGTTCAGGCCTGTTTACCAGCTGTCTACTTCCACCTCCAGTCTCCAGGGAGAGAGAGAAGGGAGGGATGGATCCTGATAGGTAGCATTTGTAAATATTCCCACCATGGCTGATTTCAAATGATCAACATGACATCGACCAGGTTGCAGATTTCCTGAAAATTTGACAATTAGCTCTCAGTAGTTGGCCTGAGCTACCACAGCACTCCCTTGGGTTGCTTTAAAATGGTGCCTCTGTTCTTATCTGTAGGATAAGATCAGTCTGGCTTCATGGGTATACAAGCCATAGGGTTTCACAGGACCCTCTTCCTTGGTTTAAATAGTCTTCTGTCACTATTGTGACATTATTAATAATGTATGAACAAAGGACTCTACAAATTATGAAGCTGTCCACCCCAGAAGGTTAAGAACTGGGTTCCTGGTTTCTGTAGTACTCAACAGTCGAAGACTGTGTAGAGCAACCTTGGGAGAATCTTCAATGTTGCTCACAATGTGACAGTGAACCTTGGGAATGCTGAGTCTTTCCTAAGTTCCTTTCTTTCCAACATGCTCCGGTAGTTCTACTTTATCAATATCTGTCAAAATTAGTGAAATGATCTTGGCCTTGTAAATTTTTTTTTCATTTTTTTCAATTTTGGTAAAATATAACCATAAATTTTACCATTAAACATTAATTATCATAAGATACACATTACATAAAACTTACCACCTTAACTGCTTTTAAATATACAGCTGTGTTAAGTGCTTTGTGTCACTACCATTCATTTCCAGAACTTTTTCAATCCTAACTGAAACTTTGGATCCATTAAATAGTAATTTCACATTTCATTCTTCTCCTGTCCCATGAAACCACTGTTCTACTTTGTGTCTATGAATTTGATTATTCTAGATACCTCATATAAAAAGATTTTTTCCCCTTTGCATACTGGGGATTAAGTCCAGAGGCCTTATGCATGGTAAGCATGTTGTCTATCACTGAGCTATACCCCAGCCCCAACATATACTCTTTTTTGATTGGCTTCAAGTTTCATCCACATTGTAGTATATCTAGGAATTAATGAATGTGTTATGCTTTGTTCATCCACCAGTGGGATCTTGGATAACTTCTACCTTTTGGCAACTATGAATAATGCTGCTATGATCATTGGTATAAAAATATCTCTTTTAATTATTTTGGTAATTCACATAGGTGAAAATGCTGGATCATATAGTAATTCTATCATCCATTTTTTAAGGACCTGCCATACAGTTTTCCACAGTGGAAGTACCGTTTTATATTTCCACCAGCCATGCATAAGTGTTCTAATTTCTCCACATCTTCATCAACACTTGTTATTTTCTCTTTCTTTCTTTCACAATAGTTCTCCTCATAAATGTGAGTCTCAATGTGGCTTTGATTTGTATTTCCTTAACAAGTAATGATGTTGAGCTAATTTGCATATGCTTATTGGCCATATGTATACCTTTTTTGTCTATTTGGATTTTCTACCCATTTCCTAATTGGATCATTTGTGGGAGTTTTATTTTTTATTCTTAAAATTTCCTTTCATGGGGGGCTGTATGTATAGCTCAGTGGTAGAGTGCTTGCCCTGGGTTCAATCCCTAGTCCTGAAAAAAAATTTTTTATGGCTTCTTTACTACTTTCATGATCTTGTATTTTGATAGGTACAACATTAAAATTTAGAAATATATTCAATCTTACAGAAATGTAGCAAGAATGTAAATAACCCAGAGAATACTTGTATGCTGCTTGCTTTATCATTTTTGTGTTCTCTCTCCATGCTTACATAATTTTTTCTGAGCTTTTTGAAAGCAAGCTGTATATATCAAGACCCTTGATCCCTAATTGCTTCAGTATGTAATGCCTAAGAATAAGAATATTCTTTTGTAGAACTATAGTACAGTTATCAGTGCCAAAATGTTAAATTAATACAATATTGTTGTCACATTGATGGTTCATATTTCAATTTTGGCTGTTGACCCAATAGTGTCCTTGATAGTTTTTTACTCTGCCAGTGCAAAATTAAATCTAGGGGACTTGCAGAGGAACCTGTTTTTTGAAACTGTCACTGGAGTGCAGTGAAGGAAATTGGGCAGCCCAGAAATCTAGGCATGAAGACTGATCCTGTGAGAGAAAGGGGTTCATCATGGTGGATGACCTAAAGTGATTCATGTAGAGGAACTTGCCCAGTATCAAAAGATGTTTTGGGTACATAATAGTGACTTTTTTTAAAAAAATAATGTTTTGTTTCTTTGCATTGAGTGGGAGAAAGACAAAAATGTCTTAGAAAAAAATAATAAAATCAGTACAATCACTACCTTTCCTTTGGATATATTATGTTGCAGTACAGATGAGTATTGCTAATTGACTTGATTATTCTCACAGGGTGCTGGTCTTTAATGAAAAGGAAAATCATAGCTTTGGGCTGGGGATGTGGCTCAAGCGGTAGCACGCTCGCCTGGCATGCGTGCGGCGCTGGGTTTGATCCTTAGCACCACATACAAAAAAAAGATGTTGTGTCTGCCGAAAACTAAAAAATAAATATAAAATTCTCTCTCTCTTTAAAAAAGAATCATACCTTATAGTTTTTCATCCTATTCTGTTTTCTGTAACCAGTGTTTTAATGTTTGTGTGTTTCTTATAAAATTTAAATGTGACTTGTTATTGAATTGTTTCTAGTATCAATATATATATGCATGATATAAAAATTTCAATCTAAGATCATATAAATATAATACAGTATTGTATTTAGTTGTCATGTCCCTGTACTTTCCTTTAATCTTGAACATCTCCACAACTTTCCTTTCTCTTTTATGACATGGAGACTTTTGAACTATGTAGTCATCCCTCCCACCTTTTATAAAAATTAATAGAGTTTTTCTATTTTTGGTGCATGTGGTGTTTCCTCTTGATTAGATTCAAGTTATATATTCTGGTCACAACATCATATAAGTGATATGGTGTCTTTCTCAGGGCATCCTATCTAGAGGTACATGATATTCATCCTGCCCTCCATCGGTGATGCTGATTTTGATTACTTGGTCAAGATGTCTGATTTCTATAGTATGTAGTTTACTTTTTGTATAGTTGTCCCTCATTATCCATGGGGAATTTGTTCCCAAACTCCCCAAAGATACCCAAATCTGTGGATGCTCAATTCCCTTATATAAAATGGCTTAGTATTTGCATATAACCTATGCATATCCTCCCCTGTACTTTATATCATCTAGATTACTTGCAATAACTTATATAATATAAATGCTGTATAAATAGGTTTTTGTTTTTGCCAACACTGGGGATTGAAGCCTGGGGCACTCTACTACTGAGGGTCTCAAACATTCAGTGGCCTATGGCTGCAAAGGCTGGGCAAAGACAACCTATAATCTTCACAGGCAGACAGAGCTGGACCCAGAGCCTGGCTGGAGGTCTGAGGTCCTGCTCTGAACCACCACGTTGCAGGTGGGGGTAGTTAAGCATTTGAAGGAATCTTCTGTGTTGGGAGGGCACTTTGAAAGTGATTCATTTTTTATTTGTTAATCTAGGTTCCCTCTCTCCTCTCCCAAATGGGACAAAATTGCAATTATTCTAAAACCCTAAACTGACTTCTTTTTTCTAGGAAAACAACCCTTGATTCAATGAATTCTTATCCTAGAAAAGCAGTTAGACATCTAATTGGAAGAGGAATTGAGGAAGAGTGGCTCCCTTTTATTTTTTTTATACCTTTATTTTGTTTGTTTCTATTTTTATGTGGTTCCGGGAATTGAACCCAGTGCCTCATGCATGCTAGGCAAGTGTTCTACCACTGAGCCACAACCACAGCACCCACCTCTAATCAAATTAGACCAACACTTATCAAGTGCCTACCATAGCTTTGAGCAGGGAATTGCAGACCACCCTCACCACCCTACATACATATAGAAGTTTTTTAAAAATGTAATTTCCCAGCACTGACATTTTAGGATTCCCCAATTCTAAGATAAATTGCCTGCTAAACTTAATTCCCCTCACCTACTTTTTCAATCAGTGTTGTACACGAAGGCTTCACATGCATGTAGGTGATACACAGATGTGCACACACACAGGATTTTACTCTTTACCTTTTAGAATTCATTGTTCTCTAAAGGGGTATGGCTTGGCATTGGTCTCTGAAGCAGATGTGGGATGATTCTGGTCATGGCCACATGAGGGTGGGGTCGTTGTGGTGGTATTGGGAGTGCATAGGGCTGAGTGGGTGGGGCAGCACCTCACATTACATATATTGTCAGACTCTCAGAGCAGGAAGGTGTCTTAAAAGTTATGTAGGAAATCCTGCCTTTTTCCATGGAAAATCATTTCATGTTTCATATGCACCTGAAGGTTATCTTGTTAAAAGAACACTGCTAAAAATTAAATTTAAGAGGAAAAAGGCCTTTGCATTTCAAGCTACGTCCCCTAATTTGTTTTAAAACTAAGTCTTGGGGCTGGGGCTGCGGCTCAGTGTCAAAGCACTTGCCTAGTATGTGTGAGGCACTGGGTTTGATCCTCAGCACCACATAAAAATAAATTAATAAATAAAGTAAAGGCCCATCAACAATTAAAAAAAAAACCTAAGTCTTTTTGATTGTGAGATTTTCTGAAAGAGAGGCATGCCTTTCTATTGAGATGTGACAACTGCTTCTTTCTGAGAGGTTACTAGACTCCTCTTGAAAACAGTCGAAAGAAGGCTGAATGTGGCCAGATGTTGGTCATTGACTCACTCTTTGACACAAAGATGTGGGTGGTGTTAACAGAGGATGTGATATTCTCAGGCAAAGAAGTAGATAGACATAAAGATTTGACCTAGTCCCTCTTCTGCCTGAAGAGACAAATCAAGGAAAGCCCAGTCTGGAGCTGCTGGACAGAGCCAGCCACTGCTTCTGCCATTCCCTTAATCCCAGAAGATTTGCTCAGTTTCTGGACAAAACCAGAAAGCAGCCTGGCCTGGCTTTGGATGCCACCAAGAAGAAATCCAGGATACTTCAGGCAGGAAAATGTGGGGTGTGAAGAGAAAGGCAGGAAGTCTTTTGAAAAGTGAAACTGGAACTCCTTTGTATTTGATCCCCCAAAGACGGGAAATTCCAGTATTGTGCAGCCCTGGGACTGAGGTCCAGCAGCATGGGTCTGGCTTAAACAAAAGTCACTTCCCTGTGGCTTTCAGCAGGGATGCATATCTTTGACCTAGGGTGACTTGCTGGTTGTCACCCCTGTGATGGGCAGCACCAGTAAGTCCTGTTGCTGCCCATTACAGGGTCACTCCTTTCCCAACACCTTGGTGAAGTCCTCTTTGGAGCTTTCTCCTGGAGACTGAGGATGGGGGTAGGTAGTGGGTGAGGAGGAGGATGCAGAAAAGATGGGCCCTCCAGTTTGTTTTAAGTTTGTATTTTACATATGAAACATTAAGCAAGGCATGGTGACACTTACCTGTAATCCCAGCTACTTGAGAGGTTGAGGCTGGAGGATTGCGAGTTCTAGGCCAGCCTAGGCAATTTAGTGAGACCCTGTTTCAAAATTTTAAAAAATTGTAAAAGGACTGTGGATGTAGCTCAGTGGCAGAGCACTCTGGGTTCAATGCCTAGTGCTGGCCCGAACAAAACAAAACAGTATCAGTGTAGATCCAAAGTAAAACCTGTAGAGCACACTCAGAAGTCTACACTGCTTCCCTGCCTCTCTTCCCTTTCCATTCAATTACCATTTTTATTAATATTTATTTGTTTATTCGTCCTATTATTACTTTTGGGGGGAAATACCCTGTGTCTTCTCTAAATTAAAGAAGAGATAGTATACTAAAATATGATTCTTCACTTCCTTCATGTGACGATGTCTTCAGCATCATCCTGTGTGAACTTCCTACATTTCATACATCTCTTGTTTCCTCAATAGGAGGGATTGTGGCAAAATGAGCACTCCATGAATCATGGTAGGTGTAATGTACTTACGTATTTTCTACAACTTGGATCAGTATGGCAGGAGTAGATATATTTGATGTATACCAAATAGTTGAAGATAACTTAGTGGTGAATTCATTTCCTATTGCAATTTGAGGCATGCCACAGTGTATGGTTTGTACCAAGTTTTTTTGTGGGGGATGGAGATGACAGGGTGGTTCCTGCTGAAAGCCTAGCATAGCAGATGCTACAGAATTCTGGCAGCTACTGTCCTTTCCTCCCAGCCTTCAGAATTAGGTCACTTTCTGTAGGGAGGGAAGGAACCCCTGGTGGGGCTGAGGCCTGCAGCCCAGCAGCAACAGAGCATATGCAGTCTGAGGAAATGTGGTTTACAGAGCGGCTCTAGATGCTTCTTCTATTTTTCAGAGGCACAGAAACAAGAGGGAAGGACAATAGTAATGGTGTGTTTGAGTGCCCTGAATTTCTGCCCAGAAACCATGACCTCAGGAAAATATTCCAGAATCTGCAAGTGGCCTGAAATCTGTTGTATTAGTTGTTTTTTCTTACTATAATGAAATATCTGACACATGCTATCTATAAAAATGAAGATATTTATTTATTTCTTAGTTTTGGATGTTCCAGGGCATGGCACTGACTCAGTTCTTGCCTAAGTCACATCATGGCAGACAGCAAGTGATTACATCTTGAACCAGGAACAGAGGGAGGACAGGGTAGGACTAAACTTGGGTTTTCATAACAATTGAACTGCCTTCTAAGGGCCATGCTCCCATTAGGACCCAAGGACCTCCCATCAGGCCCCACCTTCTGAAAGTTCCACAGCGCTTCCCATTCCAACTAGAAAGTGCTTCCCATTCCAACTCTTTAGTTGGAATGGGAAGCCTTCACTCATAGTGGAGCCTTGGGGGACTTGAGCCATATTCAAACATAGCATCTATGATATGTAAAGTTTATCAGAGTCTATTCCTCATTTTTTTCCCCAGGAAATTTAGCCTTTAGAATTCATGACATGCCACCTTTTGGCTAACCTGATATGATGTTGACAGTGCTGGTGGGAGTTACTCTTGCACTTGGCATAGGCCAAGCATTGTCCTAAGAGTCTTTCCAGGGAGCATCTCATTTAATCTTTCCATAGCTTGGAGATAGATACTAATGTTTTCCCACTTAATACCCATTTAAAACTGAGACCCATGAAGCCTATCCCTTTGCTAACTGTCCCACTGCTAAAAAGGAGTGACTCGGGGATTCGACCCCAGCAGTGTGAGAGCAGAGTTCTCCCTCCAAGAGCTGGCTCTGCATCCGGACACTGTATGAGCTTAGACAGCCAAGTCATTTTTCTGAAGAACAAGGCCCATTTTTTTCAGTTTTATAACTCTGCAGTTCCAAGGTTTATATGTGCCTTCTCCTGGAGTGTTATCTTCTCCCAGAGTGAGGAAGATGTACAGGTGTACAGGGGCACTGCACCTTGGGTCCTTTTGGTGTGTTCTCTGGTCTTTGGAATACTGGACTCATACAGCTTGAGCTGAGCTCCAAAGACTGACCTTTAGCTGATTTACCAGCTGTTCCCCAGAGATGAGGATAGAGCTTGGTGGTTCTACCACAAACTTGCTGAGAGAGGGAGAAGAAAACAGGTGCATGTTACATTTTCCTATAAATTACCTATCATGAACTTCCACCCCATGATAGATTATTACCCAGAGGAAACGGAGCTTGCAGAAACCCTTCAAGGCATTGTGAGCTTCAGCCAGTGACAAAGGCACCAGTTGATTCCATTGCTGTGGACCTTCCCCTCGTTCCCTTTTTTCTTCTTGATGTCCACCAGGCTTCTCTATACCCAGAGACAGACATATGCTGACAACCCAGCTGTGCTTTCTACCAGGAACCCTTGAGCCGATCCACATGTTCTTAATTCCCCAATTCATCCTCTGCCAGCAGCGCAGTTTTCAACCCAAACAGAGCAAATAGCAATATGAGGACATTTGTCTTTCCTATCAGCAAGGGCATGCAGTCCAAATTTATATCTTGGGAGTTTCTTGAAACTAAAACAATTCTCCAGAATTGAATGCTATGTCAGAAATTTATTAGCAAGGAAATCTAAATGCTTAGAGAAAGATATTTGAGGAGTCTGGGTACTTTTCTTTCTAGGCAATGAAGCCACAAATGGTGCACTAATTCCTGTGTCCATGGAGACGGTAGGAGCACCTGCTAACACCCTGGGTTCTGAAATCTGGACAAAGGTCTGGAGAGTTTATTCAGGGCTCTCACCTGAGCTGAGAGGGCTCAGAGGTGTTTTTGCCTTGTTTCTTCCTTCCTCTTTGATCTTCCTATCTATTCCTGTGACCTTTGCCTGTGAAGGCCTTGACATTGCTTTGCACTTTGAGGAATGTATACTCTTTGGGTTATTTCCAGAGGGAGGACATTTCTTTTTTCTCTTTTTTTGAAATCAAGTGAAGCCACTTTTTTTCTGGTTGGATCAAAAATATACCAGGTTTTCAAATAATTTTAGTTCCACAGAGTTTAATCTGTAATTGCAAAATGTTTACATTAGCCTTCAAAAATAATTGCACGAATTTTAAAATTCCTACTGTGACTTATATTGAGAAATAAAGTTAAAAAAGAGATTCCTCAACTTTCAGAGGTATCAATCACTCCAGAAGCTGACCATTCAAAAAATATATATACATCACTTGATATTTTTCTTGCCTTGTTAAATCCTTGCTTATTCTTTCTTCACATTTCTAATCTGAAAAGGAAGATTTTTTTATTTTATATATATATATCTCTCCATCTCCTGGGTTTGCCAGTGTTAAAATACATGTTTTGTTTTTTAACCCTGGAAATTGAGATTCTAGTGGGAATCTTGAGTTTTAGTTAAGACCTGGCATTTAACTGTAGAATTAATTGGTTAATTTCAAACTAGGGTCAGGACCTTGAGAAAGCTCAGCTTCTGGTACTAGAAGTGGGATCCTGAAAGAAAGGAGGTGGCTGATCTTTAATGCAAATGACAGTATCCTTTATCCTGGGCTCTGGGACTTTAAAAGAACATTTGAAATTGTATTCAAATCATAACTCAGCAGCAAAATTAAGTGCAGAGTGGTCAGAATCTCTGGTCTTTCTGTGTGTAACTTTAGTAATTATCTGGCATATTCCATACTACAAGTTTTTTGTTGTTGTTTCTGCTGTTGTTGTTTGTTTGTTTTTTGCAGTGCTGGGGATTAGTGCTGACTCGACTGAGCTACATCCCCAGCCCCATTTTACATACTTTTTTTTTTTTTTTTAAAATTTTTTTTTGTGTGTGTGTGTGCTGGGGACTGAACCTAGGGCCTTGTGTATGCTAAACAAGTCCTTTACCACTGAGATACACCACCAGCCTAAGGAGTTTAGACTAAAGTGTAAAAAAATGGTTTTAAAAAAACTGGCATTAAGAGATACATCCTGCTTTTCCTCATATGGATCTGCTGAAGTAGCTCATTAGAAATATTAAGCCTCCTAACATGATGGTCCCAACTAAGGGGTTCTATCTCTTCTTCCTTAAGGAGACAATTATGTACAGGATGGATCGGAAACACAGAGGCCACTGTATCATTATCAACAATCACAGCTTTACCTCCCTGAAAGATAGACCAGGAACCCATAGAGATGCTGGTAAGCATGGAATAGTGTATCAAATGCTAGTTGGGAATCTTAAAATTCTTTTTCATTTTCATATTTTCTTTCATTAAACTTTGTCTTCCACAGAAATTTAAAGATGATATCTAAATGTTTCTGAAGCTCTTGTGCATCCCAAGTAGCAGGAGTACCTGACTATTTGTAGTTTGGGGGAGGGCCAGGTGCACCCAAAAATCTGGGGTTTGAGCTCTGGCTCACCTCGCATTAGGTTTGTGACCCTGGAAGAGTCATAGGGCCTTAGCCTCAGCTTCTAGACTGTGAAATTGAATAAAACACTGGTCACTGCTGACCCTCAGGACTATTGTGACACTGTGGGTCCTTTGAGAAGGCAAGGTAATTTTAAGATGTTATTGTTACAAAAGTTAAAAAAAAAATCAGGGCTTTAGACTTTTTGATGTATGTGCTTTTATTTTATTTTTTAATTTTCAGGCTGGGGTTTCAACTCAGGGCCTTGTGTATGCTAGGCAGAGCTATGTGATTTTTAAAAACTATTATTATTGTTTCACTCTATTTCATTTTGCTTTACTTCATTTCAGTATTTCCTCTTTCTCTCCTTTTTCTTTTTCTTTTTCTTTTTCTTTTTGGTCCCAGAGTGTCTAAAGCTTGTGTTTGAGTGGCTTGGGTTCACAGCACACAAATATGATGATGTGACTAAAGGAGTCATGGACAAGATTCTGCAGGAGTATAAGAGTCATCCAGGCCATGCTGATGGGGACTGCTTTGTGTTCTGCATTCTGACCCATGGGGAATTTGGAGCAGTCTACTCTTCAGATGGAGTCCTAATTCCTATTCGGAGTATCATGCATCACTTCACAGCCCAGCAGTGCCCTGGGCTGGCTCACAAACCAAAACTCTTTTTCATTCAGGCCTGTCAAGGGCCAGAGGTACAAACTTCTGTGTTAACTGAAGCAGATGCTCAGAATTCTAAGCATCTTTCCCTTATGGATAGTGTTCCCACTGAGGCTGACTTCTTGCTTGGTCTGGCCACTGTCCCAGGCTATATGTCCTTTCGGCATATAAGAGATGGCAGCTGGTATATTCAGTCTCTGTGTAATCATCTGAAGAAGTTGGTACCAAGGTGAGTGTTCTGTATCTACCTCCCTGTTTATCTATTATCCATTTACCCACTCACTCATCATTCATCTTTCTACCTGTTTATGTACCTATCCGACCACCATCTACTCACCCATCTATTCATGCATCCATCCATGTATCCATGCATCCATCCACCCATCTAACAAACTTGTATTGAGCATCAGCACAGACCTGGAAAGGAGAGGAAGATACAGAATTAAAAAAAAAAAAAGACATAATCCCTATATTAAATTTGCTTCCAAGCTAATGGGATAGACAAACAGGTAGGGAAGAGCATCCCAGTGATCAGTACACTTTGTGAAGCATAGGTGTTATAAAATCATGTAAGACAAGTACTTCACTCAGATTTGGAGGATTAGAGGAGGCTTCTGGAGATGACAAATAGATGCTATGCAAAGAATCTGGGTGAAGGATGTGCTGGACAAAGGCAACAGCACCAACAAAGATATGGGGACTTTTAATTTGTCCCTTCATTTATTAGTTTACTAGTCGCTCATATTTACTGAGTGCCTTTGTGCTGTCTTTGGCCTTCTATTTGCCACTGCTCTGACAACTTCCCTTCTGTCTCTGCCATAATGCTTCTTATCTGCACCCTGGAAATGGGCCTTCACCAGGTTCTTTTCTGGACCTCTTTTCTCTCTCTCTCCCCTTCCCTCCCTCCCTTCTTCTTCTTCTTCTTCTCTCTTCTCTCTTCTCCACTGGCAGCTTTAGCAGTACCCAAGAGACCACTGGTGCCTCCTGAAAATGTCTCCCAAACTGTATCTGTGGCCCACTCATTTCTGAATTCTTGCAGTGCAGAGACCCTGTTTAATTCAATTTTGTATCTTCAGAACTTGATATAGTATCATATTGATGAGGTTGATAAGTATTTGCTGGGCTGATGAATGACTCATTGCCTGAGTCACCTTCATTCACAACCTGCCACACATCCCACCCCTGTATTGCCCTTGGATCTCACATTCAGCTTGCATCTTTCGGAATTCATCTTCCTAGCCCTTCTCCAGGAGCTCCTGCTCTTGAATCCCCATTTCTAGGAATGGCCCATGCTCTACTGGGAATTCCAAATTGGTGCCTTGAGTCAACTCTGCTCTTCTTCTTTTTTTTTTTTTAAACCAACTCTTCCATCCCTACCATAGTCATCAAATGCCAATGGCTATAGCTTTAGGAACAAAACAATATTTATTGATGGCCTACTATGTGCCTCCTGTACTGCATACTGAGTTAGGGGGTGAGGGTGCAGTTGTGAACAAAAGAGACAAAAATCTCTGCTCCATGGAACATACAGTCTGGTGAGGGAAAGACAGGAAATAAAAATATAAGCAAGTGAATATTTAAATTAATAATTTAAATTTCAGGAAGGGATAACTTCTATGAACTAAGGAAAACAGGATAATGAAATGAAGAATGGTAGGTTGGGGGAATGTGGCTTAGTGGCAGGGGACTTGTCTGGCATGCATGATCCCTTAAAAAAAAAAAAAAAACAAACATTGAGAATGGGGCCAGAGCTACTTGAAAGGCTTCTTGGCTGAAGGTAATAGTTCAGGTGAGCTAATGATGAGAAAGATTAACTCAGAAAAAGATTTGAGGACAGAGAATAGTTGGTAGCAAGAAGGATATAGGGACTGAAAACCAATCGGGGCCCACATCCTCCACCTGAAAAATAGTGATGAAGATGAGTAAGAGGAGGAAGGGGATAGTAGTATGAAGATAGGAAGAGGATAGTAGTATGATGACACTAAAGATGATAGTAGAATAGTGTAATTGGCTTTCTTAGTGCTTAGTTTGAATTACATCATTTCATTCTCATGGCAATCTCTAAGATGGGGACTATCATGTCTCCCATTTTAGGGCTGGGAGAACTGAAGTACAGAGAAGTAAATAACCTGCCTAAGACCACACAGTGAGTGAGTGATGAATCCACAATTCAAAATTGAGTGCTGTCTCCTATATTTGCTTCCAGTGATATGTAGATGCCCACCACCAGAAGATTCTGGTAAATACTATAGGTCCTGCAAACCCAGGCTCAACTGCTGCCTCCTCCATGGAGCCTTTGCTCTTCCTCTTGGCCAGAAGTATTTTCTCCTCTCAACATGCAGTGGAACTTTGACCTCCTTGTCATATGGTGTTGATCACATTCTGTCTTGTATTTTGAATAGCATATATAAATTGTCCTTCAAAAAATTTTCATGTCTGAATCCTGTTGAAGTTCAGGAGCTGTGCCATGTTTATCCTTTTAACCCTCTCTAAAGATAGACTAGAGAGGGCATTATTAATATAATATGTATCCGTGACACAGTCACCTACTTGACCTAAGAGGCATCTTTCTAAGACCTGGTGTGTGGTTTCTTCTTGCAGACAAGAAGACATCTTATCCATTCTCACTGCAGTCAACAATGATGTGAGTCAACAGGTGAACAGCGACGGAACACTGAGACAGATGCCCCAGCCTGCTTTCACACTAAGGAGAAAACTCGTGTTCCCTGTGCCACAGAATGCACTTTTATTATTGTAGAGCGTTTTCACTGGCTCCTAGATTTGAAAGGAAACTTTGATTATGTCCTCCGGCCTCCCTCCCAGCATGGGAATTGGTGATAGGTGGTGAGTTGGTCTCCACCTGTCATTCTAGCAATGGAAATACCTTGTTTTATGATAGTCAATTCTACTTTTTTTTTTCTTTTGACAAGTCTACATATTAGAAAACTTCATTGATTAAAGACTTGGGTTATAGCCTTGGTTTTGGGTAGGTACCCTGAAGAACAAACAACTGACCTTGGTTTGTGCGTCTGTGAAATGCAAGGTGGGAACAGATGTATTTTTCAGGTTCCTTCAGTTCTAAGAACCACTGGCTTAGACTGAGCTTGGCTTTCCTCTCTAGATGTATACCCCTTGGTTATAATTCTTTGTCCCCTCTGCATGGCCCTGGACATGGGATGATGGCATCATGATGCACACTCCATCTGCTGTCCCCCTTCCTAAACTTCTCTTCCTGCACATGTAGTGAGGGGAATCTGGTCTGTGCCACAGCCAATCTCCTGCTTTAGGGTAGGGAAGGTACTCATGTTTTTCTTGGGCTGGGCAGAGGTGTGGTTCTAGGAAGAAGACAGCTCACTGAGAAGACAGACATATTCAGCTGCTCCAGAAACAGAAACTTCATAGCCTGATGTCACACTCTCTCTTGTTCAAAACTTTTCAGGTGCTGGTGGCAGAACACCCAGCTCAAACTGACTAAAACAAAGCAGGGAATTTATTGCCACCCTTTTTTCCTTGGAAATCGATGAGTCAGTAGCACTTACTTCAGGCAACACTTGAATCAGGACTCAATCTACAAGGCAGCACCTGTCTCTTCACTGGATCTTCTCAGGTTGCCAACTGCACTGTGTGGACTGCAGTCAACAGCCCTACCTTGTCACTAGTACACAGTGACTCCTCTGGTCCAAATGTGGAGGAAAGAGGCCACCTCAAAGATGGGTGCTGTTCATAGGGATTGTTGGACTTTCCCTGACCAGAGAGATGTCTGGCAGTGTTTGTATAGAAGCCATGATAATTTTTACATGAAGGTTTTGAACATGTCCTTGAACATTTTTTCTCAATTCCAAGAGGATTTTTTTTTTCTTTTTAATGTCTAGAAACATATTTTGAATCCTTGAAGTTTTGACCTAAGAAGAAGATGGAAAATCTTGTGATCAAAGCCTCATTTATAGATGAAGATGCTGAGGCAACTAGCTCACTGTCCTTCAGCAGGTTATTGCTTACAGGATTCCATTTCCCACTCTAGTGGACTGGAATATCATGGGGCATGACAAGGCATTAGGTTTCTTTGAATATGTAGATGCTCATAAAAGATACCAAGGAATGAAGAAAAATGACTCTCATAGGTGCTTGACTTTAGAATTTATATGAAAATCAGATTCATAGTGAATTTGCTGTAAGAAGTATTCCCACACACCCTGTTTTAATGTAACTGACCATTGCAGGGACTTGAATGTGGCTTGATTAAGGAAATAAGTCCAATATATGTCAGAATGTTCTTTCAAAACCTTCATTCAAACAGAGCAAAGCTAAAAGCTGGTCATCATAGTATTTATCCAGTTGGATACGCATAGCCTTTGGCTATTTAACAGTTTTCTGCAATGAAGGTTGGTGTAGTATAAAGAAAAGACCAGAGGATCTGTAGATTGAGGCCTCAGATTTCCATTTCACCCTGCAAAACTCCCATGCTCTGAAATAGTCACTGATTCAAGCTTTTTTTTGAACCTTCTCTGGAGTAGAAAAATACTAGCTATTGGGAAGATAAAGGAGAATGTATATCTATATACACACTTAAATCTAATTGTGACATGTACATGCAAGACCTTTAGGTTAGTGGAGTCCTCTGGTAGTGTTCTAAGTGGAGATATAGGACTTGAGTTCTTTTGATCCTTATTCCAGTTGACTTCATTAGCAGCAACACTAGCAATAGGCCCTGACATCCTCTGAGGAGCCAGGTCTCCCTTCATTGGATCATGATGTCCCCTGCAGCAGAAGGCCAACTTGGTGGAGTCCAGTTTTTTTTAATGTTAATAAAATCTTCAGCAGCAATTGAGGGCTGATGTTTAAGTCTAGGGCCTGAGGTTTATTTCACATTTTGATATGTTGGAACCTAGTGCATATACATGTTTAAATTCTAATCAGCAAAGTTTCCATGAATTTTGTAGAGGCTTCCACCAAGCACTTTAGGAGTTCCTGGATTGAGTCATGAATATATACAGACCACAGGGATGCAATCATCCTTGACTCATTTCTCCTGATCAGGGCCTGTGCACACATGTTAGAGAGCAACCTCAAAGATGGTGCAAAACATATTTGTCTGTGTTTAAGAGTGTGTACACATCTGTGTGAATTTAAAGTCCAGGAATAACAGGTTTTTTTAGTGACAGCTATTTGAGAGTGGCTACAGTCAGTGTTGGCTCAGATATTTATGAAAGAAATGGGAAAATTGAGTGAAGGTCTTACATATTTTGTACAGTTGTGCTCAACCTACAAGAGTTTTAATTATTATTATTATTTTTTTCCCTTTCTGTTCTCTCTCTCATTCTTTCACAAAAGTTTGGGTACTGTCACACAAAATGAAAAGACATGAAAACTGTCAACAAGATATTATGCAATGTTATAGTTATTTAATACTAATTCTACTGATTTAATACTAATTAAATTCTAATTTAATTCTAATTAAATTATACTATTTAATACTAATTCTACTAATAACTGATTATTATTATTATTATTATTATTATTATTATTAGAGTTACTGGTAGCACATCCTACTGGCCTCACTTCAGGGGGCCAACGGGGGTGGGTGGGTTTGATATCCTGCAGATTACATTTAACAAACACTGTATTTCACTAGTGCTTAGGCAATGTTACACAATTGAACAAATGGTGTATTATGAGTACTGACCAATTAATACAGGCAGTAACAGGTGTAACACAATGGTTCATGTTGCTGATTTGCAGCTCTTTTTTCATGATTAAGTCTCAATGGAGGTAAACCATCTTCAAAGTTTACCTCATTTCATGGGCAATTTTTGTGCCATACATTCACTCAGTTAACGTTCTAAGCCATCTAGGCAAATTGTTCTTAACCTAGAATTCTTAGGCCCTTGGAATGTTTGTAAATTTATTCTTAGGGTCTCTGAGCTCTCCTTTTTCTCTTTCAGATGCTTCTCCTTTTTCTCTTTCAGATGCTTCTCCTTTTTCTCTTTCAGATGCTTTAATTATTTTTCCAATAATCTTTAAAAATTAATAGATAGGTATCTTGGCTTTTCTGACTGTTTCAGATTTGAGTACTGACATATAATTTTTGTGCGGACATTCTGGTATCCACAGAAAATAATAAAATTTACTTTGAACTGTTAATGTAGATAGATGGGCATCAAATTATTGTCAGAAGCCAGTGGTTAATCCATTTGGCACCTGCTCCAATCCATCCTCTCTTTCCGTGATCAACTTCTACTTTATAGTTCTTCATCTCTGCTTAAGTCTTCCAGCAAGGGAACTCATACCACAAGTGGGGTCATGGAGCTGGGAGTTTGGAAGGACCCCAGTGACCTCATGATTCAGGTCTCAGAGTGTTAAACAGTTTGCCAAAGTATCATAACCATTAGTGGAGGATTTGCTCTGTTGTATATCTCTGGATTTGCAATCTTATGCCTCTAAGTCAATTGGTTTCACTTTTGGTAGCTTTAATTGTTCCCTTTCTTCTGTTGAACAGGAACCAATTTAAAAAACACTTGTTCTCATTCTAAACTTGAACTGTACAAAATAAGTGTAACTGTCCTCTGGTGAAGTATATGTATGTGAAAAATCATTGATCTTTTTCTGTTAGGGTGTGTGTCTTATAGAAAGTCTAGAGATTGCCCTTAAGGATGTGGTACGAATATGCTATACAGTAATAGCTTTGAATAGGAACTAAAATTTTAAATTTAGGGTTTTTTTAAAAAATGGAACTCTACAAAAAAATTTAAAAATGGAACCCTCTTAAAAATGCTAGAGGAAGGCTGGGATTCTGGCTCAGCGGTAGAGTGCTCCCCTATCAGGTGTAAGACCCTGGGTTCAATTCTCAGCACCATATAAAAATAAAATAAAGATATTGTGTCCAACTACAACTAAAAAATAAATATTTTTAAAAAACGCTAGAAGAGGTCTCTGCTTCCTGATAATCATGTGAACTGCTTCCCTCTGCCATACTCTTCTGCCATGATGTTCTGCCTCATCTTGATCCCCAAGGAATGAAACTGGCCTTCTATGGACTAAAACCTCTGAAACTGTGAGCCCTCAAATAAATTTTTCCCCCTCTACACATGTTCTGGTTGGATCCTTTAGTCACAGCAGTGAAAAAGCTGACTGAAACAGAAATTGTTGCTGAGAAGTGGGATCATTGTTGTGACGGACGAACCTGACCATGTAGTTCAGAATCTTTCTGAGCTTTTTGGAATTGGTGGGAGGATTTTGAGATGTTTAGCAATGCAAACTGGAAATGCTTTAGGTTGTTGTAAGTGGAGCTTAATGGCTGATTTTGGTGGGAGCTCAGAAGAGCAGAATGCTAATAGGACTGTGGACAGTTAAGACAGAGCTCAAGATTGTTTAGAGGAAAAAGAGGACACTATGGTAATTGGACTAGAGGCCATTCCTATTATATTCTGACTGAGAAGTTATCTGCATTTTGCCCATACCCTGAGACTTTCTGTTAGGCTGATTTTAAAAGTGATGGACTTCTTAATCTGGTAGAAGAAATTTCTAGGCAGCATAGCATTCAGAAAGTGGCATGGATATGCTGGCAGCCTTTAGCCAAACTTATTGTTATAGCCAGGAGCAGAAAGCAGAGCAGAAAGATTTAGAAAATGCAGACTTAAAGGTGGAAGTAAACTAGGGCTAAGGAAGTTGCAGTTATTAAAGATATTACTTCCACTAAAGAAATGCCAAAGACTTTGCCCAGAGACAATCAGAAAGATGGCTTGAGGACATCTCAGGAATTTGCAAGACCAGACCCTCCTCAGACTCAAGGAAAGAAAAGTAAAAATTCTCTTGAGATGAAATCAGTGGGGAATCCTTCTTGTACAAAGGGGCCTAGAAAGTTTTTTCAACATGCTCAACCACTCAGACACTCAGAGGCTGCTGCAGCAAGTGTCCCCGGAGGCTAAGCTACTGCTTGAGATGGCAGTAGACCTTGGTGTTAATCACATAGTGCTGGTTCT